GTAGCTTTGCGCGAAATTCCAAAAAACAAACAAACCATTTTAGCATTGCTTGGTGAATCTCAAGTTTTCGTAGACATTTAACTTTAGAGTTAGTTTCCTCAAGTGCACTGATTATTTTATGTTTTCCAAATGGTAAATACAGTTGAAATTAAAATCAAATTCACGACAAACAGCATTCTTCTTACCATTTTCAACTGCTCTTATAACATTTACCTTATCTTCCACACTTAAAAATTGTCTTTTACAAATAGCCATGTCTATAGTACACCGTTACGGTTCTTGGCAATGTTCGTTATAACTTCGTTAACGACACTTTTCTGCGTCCCTAACTGAGTATCGTATGCTATGTGAAAATCAGCATTACACGTGCAACATACGTGGAGAACTTATACTGACTGTTAAGTTTTGGATTAACTTCGTTGGCGTAATTCTCGACGTTATGGTCGATCTTGACCTTTTAACAAATAACACTATAACCAGCGTTAAATAAAATTAATATTATGGGTATTTTACCAGGACCAAACAATCTTTGACGTTATAACCAATCTATAGACGGAAGCGGTGCTGTTATAACCAGGAACAAGTGTATCAGTTATCGTATGGTATATGTTTATTGTTCATAAAAAATTTAAACTTGTCTAAAATTCTCATTTGGAACACACTAAATCCTGTCAGTGTTACGTTTAAGTTCAGCCCTAAGTGTTACTTTCTGTAGCAGGGTCTAATCAGGGAAGATATCTACCGTTTCATGGTAACTGTGTTGTGTAGTACTTTACATTTGTATATATTGGCTCATTCTAATAGTATCACATATGACAGAAATACTTCCAAATTCTTATGATTCACTTTTCTGATTGGTCAACTACAGAGTGAAGTCTAAATGCAGTTTGGTATTTTCAAACTGATTTGGTTTTGATCTTGACAAAACTAGAACTCACTATGAAATCGTCATTCTTTCTTCTAGAACCTGGTAGTCATGCCTAACTTGTACCATTTTTTCTTTTTTATCAACAGGTATGGGAGTGTTCTTTATTTAAGTCCAGGGAAAATCAGCTTGGGGTTTGGGTTGGAAGGCTGCCAAACATTCCCTACACTTAACCCTTCTCCTAGAATCTTTATTGTGGTCATTTAAACTAGTTTTATTGACACTCAAACTTAGCAAGGAAAATTCTTGTATGTTTTTTTCAAAAATCCATTGGGTGGTCAAGCATTTAGTGGATTTATGTTTGCAGTCTGTGACAATGTTGCTAAATAATCACAATGAAGTATCTAAAAAGTTATGCTTAATTTTTATTACGTCTGTGTATTTTAATGACAGAATAATTAAATAAAGTCATTTTTTTGTATAGTCAAGACTCATGATGTGTTTGTTTAAAATCACTAAGATTAATACATAATGCTATAAATACTAAATTACACACACTGTGACAACGCTACTTGAACACATTGCAGTTCACAAACACTGACAATGGTGCCAAGATCCCAGCCACAAGGCAGGAAGGCCCTTATTTTATTTTCATCATTGGCCAAATATCTTCGTAACAGAATTGACTAACCATGTACAGGCTCCCATTTTCATGAAGTCTCCTGGTCCTCAAACATTTGCTGGGACTGTACAGCCTACGCTATCAATATAGCAAATGTAATATCAACCCCACAGGAGGTCATGGTCAGGCCTTGACAGATAATCATATCTATACTCCCAGACACTTAAAATTTTCTCCATGGATCATCACTGATTTCAAATGTGATATTTAAGGATTTAGATCCACAGATTTCTCATATTTAAGTATAATTTTAATATATTCGCCTCTACTGAATAGAATTTTCTTTAATTCATCCTTTATATTTAAATACAGTTTATTCTTTTCATTTTATTTCTCCTTACAGTGTAATAGGTTTTCTAGACAACCAGTTTTTATTCTTCAGTTTTCCTTCAGCCAATAATGTGTTTGTTATATTTAGGCTTCATACTCTTGATGCAGCTTTCATTCCATCTTTAACAAATCACTACATGTCCTTCCACATGTAGTATTCTTGCATCTTCAGTTATTGTTAAGATCTGTTAAACAAGTTCTAGTTTTATTCTTGGATTACTAAAGTGGTTCATTTTAGCAAAATGTTCAATCAGATGGTTCTGGGAAGCTCAAAGTAAGTTAACATAGGCTTTGAAGTTCATGCCTGCAACTTATGCAGGAAACATGACAAACTAACGACTTTCGCTGTAGAGGTTTGTCAGAGTGAACTCAGCAACTTGTTCTTCATTCTAGGTACATGAATGTTGTGTTTTACAGCCTTCTACTAAGGTCAAATTCCACTAACATAAACCTTTACATCTCAGGCAAGTGATAAATATAACCAATCTTAACTTGCTACTCTTCAGTGATACTATTAGTTTACATGAGGGTATTTTGTTTCAGAATGAAAAGATGAAACTCTTGATACATTCATAATAATGCCCATTTATTCTATTATATGCAAATTCTATGAAATACCATACAATTATATATTATTTATAACCACACAATGCTTACAATAGAAAAGCAATGACAATTTTATTTCTATTAGGAAAACAACAGAACAGTTAGTTTGTTATAGTTTTCATTAAGAACTAAGACATCTAAAATATAATTTACTGTTTCAGAATATGCCCAACTACTTTTCTAAATTCAAAAGTAAACTTCAAAGTTTATGTACATAATTAACACATTTTAAATAAAAAACCATAACCTAGATATATATATCCTTCAAAAAACTTCTGACATTCAAGATTTCTGCTAAAATTAAAGAAATGGCTTTTATAAAGCTTAATCACAAAGCTTTTACCCATTTAATATATTAACTGAAATAAATACAATAGTGTTGGTCATACCTTGATCTACATAAGTGGAATAATTGCATATTAACGAATACGGATTAAACTTTTTTTTTTAAACAGCTGTGATATACCATTTAACTCCCACATTTTTATATATTAAAAAGATAAATATGATTATAAAACCTTGTAATTAATTTTATTATATCAATAATCAAGCAATGTATAGTAACAGCAGATATTCAAAGACTACATTATAGCTGAAACATATCAAGCAAAAAAGTAGACACAAATACATAGAAAATAACTATACTACTACTGCAAGTCATTAAGCTTTCTAAACAAGAAAGATTGTATGTTGTCCTATTATCAATCACAAAATATAAAACTTCACAATGTTATGATTAGTTGCTTTTGAAACTTAAATAATAAACAAGCCTCTATGGTAGAACAATAATTCTGATTTTATATTTGGTTTATAAAAACAATTACAGAGATTCTTCAAAGAATGTTAAAATGAATAAAAGTAAAACATTTATACAAACTATACGAGATTGTACGTTGTTTTTAAATTTCTTTGTAACTAAAACTTATTGTCTTAGCAAGCCCACCGAGACTTTGATTAAAAAAGAACTTGTATTATTATTATTACTGATATTACGTGAGCATGTGCTAAATTTGTAATTAAGGTTTATTTTAATGATGAAAAACTAGGAAATGTGTTTACTACATAACAGAGAGTCCTTCTATTTTCAACTGCAGTATTATATACAGTGAAACCTAGTTAGTGCAGACATCAAAAATCCACAATCTAGATAATCTTATATCTAGCAAGTCTTCATAATGGGAAATATTATCCATAAACTGTAAATTTGCATTCAGAATCTGAAAGCTATCTCTTATAATAAACATGTTTTCTATGGATACATGATTTAGTAATCTGCATGGAACTAGACACGAGTCAAGTAGGGAAGGATCTATTAGAACAGAAAATTACTGATCACAAAACACATGCACTTGCAGTGGGTAACAGATTATTAGAATTAATGAGTACTGGTATATAATAATGTCTTCATAATATAGATGTATATATAAACTATAACAGATATCGAGATGTCATCAATAATTTATGCTGCAGTCATAGTGCTTCACAATAAAGATGTGTAGAGATATCAGCATCATTCAAGTGAATTGTTTGTTTATATGTGAAGATAATGATATAACATGCCACTGATTATGCAATGCACATCAATACGTATAACGTGATATACTAATAAGTTTATTGGATATTTTTTTTGAACCAGTTGCATGCTTCCCTTTAGTAGTTTTCACCCTTACATTTATTGTTCAATAATGCATGCTATTATTATGTTCAAAAGTGACTGATTCGATTATCCTAATATTTCGATCTGAAAAAACTACTTCATTACAAATGTGTTCCAACTAACAAGGTTTCACTGTATTAAAAACTAAAATGTCTTGACTTTTTCAGTATGTACTTGGGTTTCAGAATGAACTGTGTCAGTAAATTATCTGCTGAGAGTTAACTCCTTCAAATTTCAAGTGAAAGATATTATAAGAGGATGTAACAATGTCACGTATAGAGACAATAGGTGCACTCAGATGTAACAATGTCATGTATAGAGACAATAGGTGCACTCAGATGTAACAATGTCACATATATAGAGACAATAGGTGCACTCAGATGTAACAATGTCATGTATAGAGACAATAGGTGCACTCAGATGTAACAATATCATGTATAGAGACAACAGGTGCACTCAGATGTAACAATATCATGTATAGAGACAATAGGTGCAATCAGATATAACAATGTCATGTATAGAGACAATAGATGCAATCAGATGTAACAATGTCACGTATAGAGACAATAGGTGCACTCAGATGTAACAATGTCATGTATAGAGACAATAGGTGCACTCAGATGTAACAATGTCACGTATAGAGACAATAGGTGCACTCAGATGTAACTGTCATGTATAGAGACAATAGGTGCACTCAGATGTAACAATGTATGTATAGAGACAATAGGTGCACTCAGATGTAACAATGTTATGTATAGAGACAATAGGTGCACTCAGATGTAATTGTCATGTATAGAGACAATAGGTGCACTCAGATGTAACAATGTCATGTATAATAACAATAGGTGCACTCAGATGTAACACCTCTTGTGGACTTCACATGTTTGAGAGATTGCTCATGATGTGGAAACACCCATGCTAGTTTTGAAAGCAAAGCTTGGGAAGAACTAGATAGAAATATCAGCAAAGCTACTCACCTAGATGTTAGTTTGAGACTATCGTTTTCCGGAACAGTTTTAGTTCATGTGAATGGACGGAGAATAGATCATAGATACTTAAAAGAAAAGTGAAGTAGATAAAAAGGATGTAGTGGGGTAGCAAAATTTATTTTTCGAACCATTACCTGTCGTGGTGAAAGTAAGCTTGAAACACCGTGCCAGATTCAAAACTGAACCATGAATAGTGTTGATAATGTTAAGTTGTATCTTTACATATTTGTAACATGTTGTATATGTGCATGTAAGCTATAAAAGTATAAGTAGTTTACTAGTTACTAAGCCAATGTTAGAACCATTATGCATGAAAGATTTTCATGTTTTTTCCTGTAATAACTGAGTCACAGACTTATTACACAGAGGAAGAACAACAGCCATAGACGTGATAAAAATTCAGTGCAGTACACTATTGAATATAATTTCTGTGTCCACCCAACAATCAGTTCGTGCTGAAAACATCTTTCTAATTTCATTTTGACAAATCAATCTGTACCTATTGCCGAAATACTAGTTCCTAACCGACGTCCAATGAAGAGCCTGGAAAAAGTAAACCAAAATGTTAATTTGTATAGCTTTCTAATGTCCATTATAGTTTATCATCAACACAATCTAAAAAAAATGAAGATTTAAAAAATATACGAATTCCAGAGATAGTTCAGATAAGTCTTTCAGATCTTTGCATATGTATCTAAAGATATTATTAGTTTGAAAAACAAACTATACCAATAAAAAATACAAGTACATACATTGTCTTAAAACCATAAAGTATAAACTTAATGAATACTTAAAAAACCTAATAATTTTACTTTCCTTAGTCAGTCAGCTTCAGACTTACACATACAAGCTTTTCTAGTAGTAATTAACTGCTATAAACAAAAAATATATAAATAAAAGCTGCTAAAGTTTTAATAAGAAAAAGGTAGAACTAACAAGATAAAAAAAAACATTTCTAAGGAATAAGATCTTGTGAAAGAACACTGGCTGCTTATATTCTAATTAAAAAACATATTGCACCTGTGCTGATATTATGTTGTTTTTTTAACAGCTCTCCATAAAAATTAGTTAATGACAACTTCTTGAGAGGGACAATTGCCAGATGTAATCATGTACAATAACAATAGCTAGTTATTTCAACAGAAAAAAATAACTTAATTACAGCCAAATATGAAAGTAAAATTTTTCTGGACACCTGACAAATGTGATACAAGGAGCCAATGAAAAACTTGAACCATCCTTGAGCAGGAACTAACTGTCTATCAGCTTAACTTTAAAAACACGTTGAGGATACTAGGCCTAAAAAAAGATTTGACTTCTGTTATCTTTACAACAAACTTTGAGATTTATTAACTTTCATAACGAAGTAGGATTCAATAACTATTTTTCACAACTAATATCTAAAGCTTCTCATAAAAAAACTATACCAACAAAGAAGCCATGACCTTAAAACACTTCAAAATAACTAGCAAGTAATTTACACATATGAAGACTTTGTGCCATGTCCATAGTAACACAATATAAATATGGACAAAATTCCATTATTATTGTTACAGGTTCTAAAACTGGGTTCGACTTCTGAACTAAAGTTTTAAATAACCTCCCAGATTTTATTGAGTCTTCCTTTACAATTCAAGTAAGGCTTTATATTCACAGGACTAAAAAAACAAATTATCTTTTCATGTTGATAAATATCATATGGTAACTTAACATTTTTAATTTACCTCTAAACAAATATATCTGTCCATCTATCATTATAGAATTTTTTGCTCCACCAAGTTTGTTCAACTCAGCTGTGGGAATATCTCATATTCATTATTCAAATAGATCTTTTTAGATTTTAAGATATTATTGTTTGCTGAACTTCAGTGGCAAGATGAATACAGCACTTCAAGAAATTATTAGTCATTGAAACATTTGCTTTTAAATCTTGAACGAAAGAAACATTAGCAGTCTTTAATAAATACTTGTTTTCCGTGCACTGGCCATTTTTTTTCTCAAGAGTGTCTCATGAAGCCAGTGGACCCACAAATCAATAAACAGGGAGAGTTAGCCATTCACAACAGGGATAAGTAGTGATTCAAAACAGGGTCAGTTTGTTCTTTAGAGCAAAATCACAGTAGGTTATCTGTATCAACTGCAAGGAATCTAACCACTGATTTTAGCATTGTAAGTTCATAGATTTACCGCTCTCCCACTGGGGGACTTCTGAACAGAGAAAGAGATAATTATTCACAACAGGGAGAGGTTATTCACAACAGAAACTGTAATAATAACGCTTCATTATATTTCACGTGCTACCTTTTTCAACCAAACCTGTCATTTTAAAGATAAGATAAGATGAAAACAATCACAATTCGCCTTTAAATATTTTGACAATAAACTGCAATCTCAGACATATCAGTGCTTGGCATGTAATTATTTGACAATTATATTATACATCAGTACCTGAGACAGCAGGCAAAATATTGATAAATGACTACAAGTTAAGACATTGAAAATTCTTTACATACCCTATTCCTGCACCCAAGATCAAAGACAGAAGGTTAGTAAGCACTAATATTGACAGTACTTCTGTAGAGAAGAGACCATGCTTGACAACCTTAGAATGCCGCAAGCTCAAGCCAGCTCGTTGGGGATGCTTGAATTTCCACTCTCTAGGATAGGGGCAAAAAAATATTTATTTTTATGTGGAAAATCAAAAAACTTTTCAAATTAATAAACTAATGAAATATGACACAGCATCAGCAAATATATGTAGGTTTAACTAAGAATAGGCTTAATTTATGCTTGAAATGTATTATTTAATGGTTTATCCGGTTGAAAATATATCCTAGAAAATAAATTTCAAGGAAATAATGTAATGACCTTATTATCTGTAATGTATGTCTAGACTAATTCATTATATGCATATTTCATAAACTTTGCTTACTTGTTTCTCATTCAAGGCATACAGAGAAGTAAAGAATAATCAATTAATTGATAATGCAATAAAACAACTCAAGGGAATGAGTAATGAACTTCAAAAGCTCTTGGTATAAGTTCATCCTATTTATGAATTTTTCTTTATAGTTAATCACTGCAAAATGTTTAGGATACAACAGATGGTGTAACTAAAATTGTGAATATTTATATTAAGCTGTACTACACTGTTTCAATGTATTCAAACTGTAGATCATCTGCTAAGTAGTTTTTACAAACTGATATCAATTTATACTCATTTCATAAGATGTTTTAATGCCATGTGCTTCATTTCAAGATTAACTGTTTATGAGGTTGTAAAAATAAAAATGTTAAAAAGTCTAACAAGCTAATTTCAATTTATTCAAACACATAAAAACCTACAATCTTAAAACAGAATTAAAATAAGAACTTATCTTTATGATGGTTGACCAGAATCTCTTTCTTTACATACCATTAAATATCATTCACACACAAACTTTCTCATCAATGATCTGTGACATACCAGCAATCGCCACACCTATCTAAATGCATATTGGGGCCAATAACGATGTGGGCCATACCATTAAATATCATTCACACACAAACTTTCTCATCAATGATCTGTGACATACCAGCAATCGCCACACCTATCTAAATGCATATTGGGGCCAATAACGATGTGGGCCATACCATTAAATATCATTCACACACAAACTTTCTCATCAATGATCTGTGACATACCAGCAATTGCCACACCTATCTAAATGCATATTAGGGCCAATAACAATGTGGGCTAGTTATAGTATGAGATAATGTTTTTCATAGGTAAAATCTGGGGAGAAAGTAAGGAGTGTGCATCTGATTAGATAAAATATTGAACTGAATTTCATTTTAATTCTAAAACTGTAGATTTCAATTGGAATACTATACCTTTTGAGAGAAGGTGTACTATATTCCCCATGTTACAACAAGCAGTTGAGAAGTTCTGATAGTGAGATACAGCAATCTCAAGCCAGGAAGGAAAGATATGCTATTTGAAAGTATTCACCATACGAGTGTCACAAGTACTATCCACAGATTGTTAAAATGGTAACATTTGATTCTATGGAGAAGTTTAACATCTAGCAAACAGTTCACCTATTTCTTGGAGACTGAAGCTAGAGAGTCCATCAAAAGTACTATCTAGAGGTTGTTAATATGGGTAACATTCGAGTCTGTGGAGAAGTTTAACGTCCAAAAAAGAATCAAGTCTTTGGGAATTTAAATATATACGTCCTCCTGGCAGTGGTAAGCCAAAGCATGCTGTTCAGACAAACTTGGCTGACAAGGCATAGCTATCCCTCCAGGTAATTGAGCAGTAAATCTCCCAGCATGAACAGCAATATCAGGTGAAGGGGGGAAAACTAAGTAGTCACCCTCAGACCTTTCACTCATCAAAGAAGGAGTAGATTCAAAGGCAACTGGAGAAAGCCACAGAACCTCACAAACACGACTGACTAACTGAAAAAATAAGAGCAGTAGGTAGATGATCCAAACTGGCCTCATGAGAAGCCATCCTAATAAACAAAGGTGCCAGAAAAAAAAAAAAGTCAAATTCTCTCCAGACTGTCCTGGATCATTGACAACAGCAAAAGCAGCCTCAGAATCTCCTGAAAAGATGTCCCTGGACCAAATATTTAACTTCCTTCCAACAATTCAATGTGCTCTCTAAGGTTAGGAACCCAAGACTGAACACAATAGTCCAATATTGCATCTGAGCTAGTAAAGTTAGTTCTTCTTATACAAAGACAGGCCCTCTTATAATTTTCTAGAGCAGTGACCTTGGGTCACCATTAGAATATTAGTTGTAACATTTAAGATATAATAAATAACATACAGCATGAATGCATGATTTGGGTAAAAACCCCTATTTTGGCTCAAAGCTGTTACCTAGAATTACATTTGGTGGAGTCAAAATAGGGATTTGTAGTTTAAGTAAATAATTTCTACAGTATCTCCAGCCTTGTTTCCTTGCCTTTTTTATGATCCCTATTTGCAGGTTTTTAAATATCCAATTTTTTATTTATCTTGTTTGCTGGCTTTTTTATGCTCAACTATGGGCAAAGGATTACTTGATAATGTAGCTAATTTTGTACATTGTAATGATAATAAAAATAGCTAGTTGATACAGTTCATGATGATTTACTGTAGCTATTGACTATTTGATCACATTAGTTCGAGATGTAAAATGTTAAGTTGCAGCTGGAGATTTGTTTTGAGAATATAGTGAGCATTTAGTTTTCGTGTAACTAAATTATCTACATGTAATGCATAGCAATGGGCAAATATATGCCTAGACTAAACAACCCTCATTAAGCATGTATAAAATTTTACCAGTAGAAATGTAGCCTTTTAAGTAAAACATGTATGTCTAAAACATCGCTTTAATACACCTTCGTGTCTTTTAATGTAGTTATCCTATGAATATGTGCAACAAAATTAGTATTATGTGTATTGAAATTTTTTTTACTCCTTTACATCATACATAATATAGGGGTTGGCTCCCGAACAATACAAATTGTATAATGTACAAAGCATTGAGTATCTAAATGTTATATCATCTAATGTTCATCTATCATTAGCAGGTAATTCTTGTTTCACCCTGTATATAAGTATTTTAAAGGAACAACAGATATTTGTAAAAAAGCTGATTTCAAGGGGTAACGATAACATCGTTTACACTAGAATTATGTTGTTTTTAGCTTATGTAAAACATTGAAGAAATAAATCGACTTTTCAATACCCATACATCCTTTGCAGTACTTTATTTAGTATTTTACAAAAGGTGTGGGTGCAACATACCAAGCTGTTTTTGTTCTAGGCTGACAAGGGAAAAATAATAAGAAAAAGAATTAGAAACTGGCCATTTTAAGCATATTTTATTTTCTTTGTAAGTCTATCGTGCATGCTTTTTTATGCATTTTTATATGTGTATAGCCTTAAGAGTTAATAATAAAGGTTTTATAGTGTTGTTTGAATTGAATCTTTACTGTTTTGAGTGCTTTTTACCCGAACGTTATATTAGGGTTTGGTGCAATTCCTTGCAATCCATATTATGAACCACTACTGTGATTTATGATTAACAGAGTATATGGTAAAGGTATGAAAAGCAAATGTATCTGACCAGTTATGTATGGCTTTGAGTTCTTTTTCACCAGTGAATGGAACATACTGTGATGAAGGTTCAAATTAAGTAACAGATATTAGAATATGTATGGAAATAAAACTGATAAGCCCAACACTAAAATGAATTATAAATTTTATAGAAGTGTGGTATTTTCAGATGAAAAGCAGATTTGTTCAGGAAATAAGTAATCTGTGTTTGATAACCATGTTTTCCTAGTGTGTGTGAAATAATAAGACTGGACAAGTTTAATTAAATGAACACAGTCTCTTTCATGAGACAGACAAAATGAAAATGTAGCACATGAACTTGTGCATACGAATAGACAGTCAAATCTACAGCATTGTGATTAGCTCCTCAGCTTTATTTCTCTTGAGACAGACTTCTGATATACTAAACATACTGATCACCACATTTGGACAACACTTGCTGATCTCCAGGCAGAATCTGAACTAAGAAAGCACACCTGAATTCAACAGGTAAACTCCATTTTTTTGTCCAGTCAATAGAATTACCTCTTAAACCTTATTCTCTCACAGCATTGGTTGGTTGTAACATATAGACACTGTCACTTTGGCCAGCAAAGGACATTACAGTCACTAATCTTTTCAACATAGATGCCAAATGTGACTATAATATCCTCTTGGGAAAAATAAACATTATCTATTATAGAGAACAAAGAAACAAAGAACAAGGCAACCTCTGTGACTTTCTGTACCACATGTTTAGGCCAAAACTGCATGGAAACTAAATAAACAAATATTTAAAAAATTCCAATATAATTAAAGCAGGTAGAATAATTAATATGTCTACATGTAACACAAGCAAATTATTCACTTAAAAAGCTTGATTCTTGAAAATAAAAGACAGAACACAAAACTTCTTATATTCAGATTTGTTTCAAAATTAATTAAATGTTTTAAAATGTACTGTGTGTAGCACTAACTATAAATGTATTTTACCTGTTTCAACTATATATATATATATGTTGTGTAGCCCAGCAAAAGCATTTGTCTTTAAATTATAATATGAAGTGTAACTATATCATATCTTAGGCTTGCAAGCACAGGAGTATGAAATTTGGTCAAATGTAATGAAGCAAGCATTTGGTAATGAAAGTTATAGTAAAATATTAATTATTTTGAAAAAAGAATGCAACAACACATTTTATTGCATCGTACAAAATAGTTAAGAGTTTAATAGAACTTCTATGTCAGACATGATAAGGAAAAAACATTGTTATTAAATAATGTCAGTACTTCCCTTCAGTTGATTTTTATACATTTCAGGAATCTATTGTTTCATTATATGATTCAAAATGCAAATAATTAGTTATTCAGCCTAATCTCATAAAAGAGCACTTGGCAGAGATAACTACCATAATGTTAATCAAGGAAGTAATTGTTTCACAACTGAAAAGTTTTATGCTGTTTGAAGTAATTTTGAGTATTTATTATTCCATGTCAAGCTATTAAAGGAAAAACTCAAATTTAATGGTTATGAATTTCCGACTTTAATCAAAATTTACAGATTTTTCAACAGATATAATATTACACTAAATAATATGGTTCTAGTTCTATTCTGAAAGATATGATTTTTGAATATGCAAGGAAAGTTATTCCTGCTCTTGAACTTGACCTTCTGTTACCTTAACTGGCATTGGTCACATTCAAAGACAGTTAGGACATGTTATCATGTGACCCTATTTCCCAGTCTAGTGTTTCTTTTCCAGTTGATTCTTTCAGTTAAGAACTGATATAATTTTATTCTTTGCTTATCTTTATTTTAAATGTATTTATCTATTTGTTTTACATTTCAATGCAAGTAAAATGGGATAAAAAGGACCAACTTTTAGGTGGCTGAAGGTGACTTCAGTCTGCCCATACTTGCTAAACATTTTGTAAATTAGTGTTTTAATCAATATTCTTCCTACAATAAGTGACATGGTGCCCCTTCTTTGGTGCCTCTCTTTTCACTTCATATTCAAGGGTAGGAGGATGAACTACTTCTGATTACGTATGGTTTGGAACACGTCCATTTTTATTTTATCATTCATTTTACTTTTTGTATCGTATATATTATTTTTCTGCTAATTCTGAATTAAGTAGATTTACCTGTAGTTTGGCTATGCATTCTACATTTGATTTTATTACTGGGCAACTACGTTCCCATATTGGTTGCAGACAGTGAATGAATAGTTTGGTTCAGGACATTATGGGATCAAGCACCTGAACCATGCCCTCTGATAATTTCAAACTTATTCACATATAGCAGATTCTTACCTGCAATGGTATATAACACAGGCCTGCAATTTGGTTTTAATAACAGATTTTTCATAATTCAGCTATGCAGATTTCAAAAATAATATTACAAAAATTAATATTACATGTAAAGATTTTTTTATTATATTACACAATAACAACACGCGAGTGTTTTTGAAATAATGATGTATCTTAAAGCTATATAATTTTTACATTATGATTTGTAGTTTTAAACAATTTAACTTTAACAAACACTTCACATATCTCATCTGAAAGTTAACCGTTTTCGTAAGAAAACTTTCATTTTATCTGATCTTTCTGATATAACCAGTAACTTCTCAAATACTGATTGTTATTTCACAAACTGAAGTAATAAATGTGTTTAAATTATACTATGTTTACTAATTTCATCATAAATAACTTTAACTTAAAGGAACAAAAGTTTTGTGTTATAATAGGATCTCTATTCTACCTAGAAAAGCATAGCAATATCTTACAATAATAACTTAATTTATTCAAAGCTATAAATAAAAAAAATAGTTACTTGGGAGGAAGCTGGTCGGGTCGGCTGCTCCAGTCCCATATCCAATCTGTGGCAACTTGCCTCCTCCCAACAAGCAGGTCCTCCTACCAATATTTAGGATTATCTTATATTTCTTATTTACATTTTGTATGAATGCATTGTTTGATTCATATTATGTACCATGTGTTCTTAGATCTTCTTTTTCCTCTACATTTTTATTATTTTTCAATATCTAAATTGTCTCAAACATGTTATTTCAATAAAAAACATGTATCTTCTACGTTTTCCATTTCAATCATGAAGTTTGAATACAAGAGAGATGCTGCTCAAGTTGTTTGATGCTATTCATAAAAATTCATATAAATGTATTCTTTCTAAACAAAAGTTATTACAAATAAAGATTAAAAACAAACTATAAATTTAAGATATGGCCACAGTAAATAATTTATTCTAGGTTAGTTTGCCTGATAATTATCACTTCTGTAACATTCATTACTTGCGAACTAATATACTTATTACAAAGCTTGCATAAAGTTGTATCATTAACAATACTGATTTAGTATATGCAGTTTGTGCCCAATGTTTGAAAAAATAATTTCCAACACTATTTAAATAATTTCTTGTTGAACAACTGATATATTCCAGTCTGTTCAGGTGAAAAATTTGATATTTTCAATACGCACATTTAAAACTGCTGAAAGAAACAGACATTTCCATGTTCTCTATGTAGCACTAATAGTGAATTATATTTTAAATACAATATTCTTTTATCAATTCTCAATGTAGTATACTTTTTTCTAGAAGTGTAGTGATTATTTCTCAACTTCTTTACAAATTTTAGGAGACTGATGCATTTTAAGCTAAGCTAAATCTAAACCACAATGAATTTGAAAAACAGACTTTCAGTTTAAAGTTTTTAAGCAAAAGGACTATAAAAGATCAGCACAGGTATAAACAGCTGTCAAGTGTGCAACTAATGTGATGGGAAACACAAAAACTGCTTGTCTAAGATGCTTTCAAACAGGAGAACACTACATTTCCTCCTTCTCATCATCAAAACTGTAATCATAAGCTACTGCAACATAAAATCATTGCTCATACGCTACGAGAAGTAGACCCTTGCAATAACTAGGTGTGGAGGAATCCCTTTCTACAGAGAGTTGCATAAGTTATATTAAAAAAACTTTTGGTTGAGAAAAGCAGTAAGTCACATCCAAAATCTCAGTAAATACGAGGTTGCAGAGGGAACAACATTTTGACATTGCATGACATTTTGTAGGTAGTGTGATTCCACCAAAAACCAAATACTTTTGAGAAGGGTATGTAACAGCCCATTCTGATCCAAAATATTCATAAAGTGAGATCATAAAGATGTGTTCAGATCAGGGATTTAGAATTTTTAAGATGGAGATATCCCTTGTATTTAATGGCATTGGAACACAAAGGAAAATGGATCAACTTGGGTTACCAGGACCACTCAGAAAGAGACCCACAATAAATCATGATACAAAGTGCAGCATTCTGTAACTGGTGAAAAAAAAACAACAACACTAAGTCAGTGGCAAAAGCCATTCATGTGCCCCAAGCAACAGTATGCAAGATAATGAAGAAGGATCTCCATCTGGAAAATCAACACAAGTCTTCTGTACAGAAGTTGCTTTCACAACTTACCAGTTCAACAGTTACATACCTCAAGTAGCTAGAGACTGAAATGGGTATTCATACTATTCCATATAATGGCTAAGTAAGTTACTGAATGGAATGCTTAGTGATTTCTGTGTGATCAGACAGTTGAAACAGGCTCTGTGAAACCATCTTCCTCATACAATAGATAGATTATTGAAAGGTTTTTCTCATGACAGCATTAGGATGGAGCTTTTTTTTTACAGTGGCAACTACACTGCAGGGCTATTGTAATGATGCACAGTTGTTAGATAGGGCATGACCAGACATGGCAACATGGACTGCAACAATGTGGTGAGGCTCCAAAATCATTTTAATATAATGTATTCAACCTCTGTATAATAGATTCCACCAAGGGAGCTGACTATTGTACTTATGTGGGCAAATAATAAACTACAATAATGGTACCATATACTTTAACTTGCACATCATTGTCCTTTCAATACATTTACAGTTAGTCCTTTTAAAACAAGTTCTATTTATGCAACCCATGTAAATTAGAACATTCTAAACACTGCTTCAGGAACTACTGGTGTTATGAACTGAGGCCTTTCCCAAACATTTTTCACCTTTGTTAATGATTGATGCTGTTTACAATATAATATAAATGAATCTTCTAAAACAGCTAATTATTCTTGCTTCTTGTATGTTGGATGCTGTGGCATCAATTAAATGTTTCTCCATTCTTTTAGTGGGTAAAAGTAACACCTTTAATACCAACTCTCTTTTTTTTAGAACAGAAATTGTACTATCACCAGTTACAAATCAAATTTCTTTAATATTAATTACAAAACTGTATAGATATACACTCACAACAATACAAATTCTTGATAAGATACTTTACTTTATTAATGATGAGCAGTTCATTGGGAGTGTGTGATGGCTCAATCACTGGGCTGTGGGGACTCTTTGGACTAGAAAGAAAAGAAATCCTGATATATAAGAAAAAAGTTCAAACTGAAAGAAAAGAATTAACAAATGAGAAAGAGTTTTTTAATTCTTATTTCCCAATGAATCTTTCAAAGAAGAAATCTTTGGCAAGTTACCAGGTTGATTGCCTAATCCATACAAATGATTTTTATATATGTGATTTTTGATAAATAGATTAAATTTACAGCAACATAAAAAGTTTTTGTTCTTTTTATTTATCCCAACTTTTGGTATTATAGCTACACACTGAACAAAATAATTAATGAATAATAATATTATACTATCATAAAACAAAATTGTTTTATAAAATAATTTCAATCACCCACTCACCACAATTCATTCTCACACAAATCAGAAATCTCACAATAACCCATATGATGTAAAATGTAAATGACTGGTTATTCACCCTGTGATATGTATACAATGGTCTCACACAATGTTCTTGTTTTATCACTTTGAAATGTATCGCAGACTTTAAAGTTTTCTACATGGTCCATGAACCATGACTAGATTTCCAAGAGTACATCTGGATCTGATTACTAACATGGAGGCATGAGGTAAATGGATGCCAGCCAATCACAGCAAACTGTTGAAACTTGGATACAATTGTCAAAGTGTCATTAACATAATTTGAAATTGCTTCCAACTAATGATAAATTATTCACAACACAAGTAGATGACGGAAGATTAAATCAATAGTGATAGATACAGCTTTTCTGTTTTATGAGTAAGCCAATACAGAATATTATGCAAGTACACAGCTTGCTCTGGTCGGAAGTTACGTTAATTATCAATTTTGGTTTGCTGTAGTTATAAGGTACTTGTTCTACTACTGAATGTAATATTTGTACCCACAAACTGGATGTCTATATCAGTGTACAGACATTTAGAAATATACTTTACATAGCGAAGCTACAGATTATATGTACTTCTGAATGGTCCCCAATAATGTTCTGTTTCAAAAGTACAAGTAAAACCAAGATTAAGAGTAACATGTATTTCTATTTCTTGGTTTTGAAGTTTGTATGTCATAATATATTGTAGCTTACAGAGTGCATAATTCTTCTTGTGATTCATGGCATGCACACATTTTACTGACATTAGGACAGCACAAATTGCAATGTTAAGCATCCCTTATGCAGCATCATTTTAATGTCTACTGACTGACTGACAGACAACACACTACTGTATAGTGGTGTGAAGTGGTTAAAACAGGTGAACCCTCCAGGTGGCTTTCAGCTTCCTCTTGGGGAAATCATATCCCCAGAGAGATATATCCCACTCACAGAAAAGCACAAAACAGCTCACCTCCAATGGTTCCAAGAACACTTTCAGTAAACCAAGTACACGGGGTGCACTGATCTTTTGCAGATGAGTTATGCTTCATCCTTCAAACTACTTCATGTAGTACCATAATAAGATTTCAACCAAGATCCAAACTCAGTACAAAACTAAGGGAGGCACTTGAAAATCAAAAATGGATAATACATTCTTAGAGGATGATAAGCAAAAATAAAGGATTTCTCTGGGATTAGCACAAAACTTCTAAATAAAATCAACAAGTGGTTTATTTTGTTTACAAGCAAAACTATCTGCAGCTATGTAGACTTGAAAATATAAACTTTTTTTTCTTCAAGAAAGATACTAAATAATTGTCAGAAAATAAAGTATGGATTCTAAGTAGTTTTAGGTTAAAACTGAAATACTTAGAGTTAACACAAAATTGGATATATAATTTGTGCCTCAAATATTTTATCAAATGGCAAAAAATATCAAAAGCCAGATGAATCCCTGTCTTTAGACTTCTGACATAATAAATAGAATTAAGTTACTTTTTTAATCCTAAACTTTGTATATGAGAATGTGTCATACATAGCAACTGCACTGTTTAAAATTTAGAAAAAAATATTTATTCAGCTATCAGTAATCTTTTGCAACAATCCTGTGTTCACTTTTCCAGACAATTTACTACTGTTTTACATGTTTATAAGCATGTTCACAATAATTAGAAGCTTTAAGTGTTTTATCTCATGTTACAAACAGCATATACACAAAGTAGTAAAATAACATTTATAGTATATTTAAAGTTACAGAAACTACGAAACATAACACAAATTATCCATTAGAAAGTAGAAACATAATTTAAATATCATATTGCTTAAATCCTCACTTAAAATAACAATTTAACATTTGTCGAATACAAATTTCAATGACTAGTTCTAACAAAAAGTCAACAGTTAACAATGTTAAATATTGCAGTTAAGTAATGTTAATATGTTACCATTCTCTGGATCCAATAAGGTTTGCCTCACATTCAAAATATATATATAACCTGCACTACTAAACAACCTATCTGCACAGGTGTTGGAATTACCAGATATTTAACTGCAAGTCTACTGGTTGTGGGTACAAATGGGTATTATCTGTCCAGAATCTTAATGGGTCACCATGCAGAGTGTGAGTGGCCTTGTATCTATTCACTTGCTCTTCAGAAATGATTTCAGGAAATTTCTGTACTGTGGATATTCTTATTCTTGTAAATAGATGTCACTAGCTTTAAACCAGCAATAGTCTTTTTCTTCATTGGTAGTTCTTGAACTTCTTGGGCAATGAAACTACAAGAAGGAGTCTTGCCAAATGGACCGAATTTGCACATTTCTCCTGAACAGCCGAGTATTTGATGTCAACAGTCGAAAAACTTTATCCTTTATTATACACATTCTTGTTCTCATATTCGTTTGAAAATGGCATATTCTTAAATCTGGCATCCAGAAAGTATGCATTCATCAGAATGTCAACATCGGAAACTGACATATATCTATATTCAAGATCCTCAAACACTGGTTGTTTAATATGAACTATCACTCCTAAGGACACCTTTGACTGGTACTAGGAGGATATTTAACTGATGCAGTGTAGGTTACAAACATGAAACACTGACATAAGATTCATTGCTGAATTTTTGAGTAAGTTTTAAAAAAGTTCTAAAAGTTCAACCATCTTTTCCTCATTACTCATTTCTAATTCTAGCATTAACTCTGGTTTATTCAAGTCCATTAGTGCTACCACATATGGGTTGTTGTTTCTCTACAATTCTTTTCAATGTGGCTTAAGTGCTGATCCACCTAATCTAACAATGGAGAGTCAACTTGTGTTCTTCTGGTAAATCAAGTTGTTACAAGACAATATTTGGCATTAGCACTTTGATGGAAATGCTCAGTCAACTTAGAACAGAGTGCGATCACTCGGTCCATTCCTGCATTTAGTTCTTCCTTGATAAGTAAGTACAAGATATGATCAAAGCATGTTATTAACTTTTGATCCATGTTACTAACAGCTTTCACACAGTTGGAAGCACTGTCTGATGCAATAACTTCACCCTTATTCAAGATATTCCAACTTTCTAGACACTGAGTAACAGCCTCAGTTATAACTTCAGTAGTGTATGGCAGAAGAAGCTCTATGTTTTGAAGAGTATAACTTTTCAAAACCCAGGTTGGTTTACGAAATGAACAGTCAAACCAAAGGTGCTGGTCATGTAGAGGTCCACATTTCAAAAGTAATGACCACATCACTTGTCTGAGAAAGTTGGTCCATAACCACTTCTTGAATGCTGGTATACAAATTTTGTATAAAATTCCCATTTAATCCCTTCCTTGATGGCACTTGGTATTTCAGATCAAGAGATTAAAGCAACCTTACAAATCCAAGTTATTCCAAAGTTTGCAGTGGATGCATAACCTTAGCTATGCAGTTTACTAATACCCCCGTTACCTTTTTATGCTTATGGTTCTCCTTAGGATACTTAGCTTTAGCTACTAAAGACTTGCATAGTTGACTGTTTCTTCAATGATTGTTGATACTTGAAAACTGTGATGAAGATGGTGATTCAGTTAAAGCCATTGTTGCTGGAATTGTAATCATAGTTCTTTGACTCATCCTTCTAAGTGCAAAACTGTGGAGAAACTATAAATGGTATCACATGTTCATAGTATTGCAGCTAAATTTAAGTACTGCTTCACAATGTATGCACATATATCTATTATTACCATCTTTCTGATAGCTGTAATGTTCCTATGCTAATTTATTTTGTAAAAGATTCAGCTTGTCTTGTTCACTCCTTTGCTATGCCATTGCTAATGATTGTCTTCTGTATACACTATCACCTTACAGCTGTGAAATAAGTATGTGACACATGACTGCACTTTTATGAACAAATAGCCTATGGACTGGCAGTAGATTTGAGAATATTTTTAGGATTCTAACTTTTAATCAATTTTCACGAGTATAATAAAGAGTTTTTCACAGAGTATAGGATTGTTACAGAAAACTGGGATAAATTGTATTCAGCAAACTAATTCTTCATTATATTTCACTGTTGTTAAAAAAATATTTTAGCATTACTGCAAAGAACTGCAATATCTGAATTTAGTATACTTTTATTAAATAAATAAATTCTTCATTAAAAGATAACTGTCCTTAGTTTTCATGTGATAAACGTATTAAACATTCTTGTGAGTGTTGTTGCAGTGTGATAGTATATACAGTGCCTTTGCAAGTCTTCCCCCCCCTGTGCTGGTAAAAAAAATTAGGTATTTTCTTGTGAAAGACACAACTCAAATGGCCAAAAATATTTATTATATTAATCTGAGACCAGTTTCTAAAGATTACAAAGAACAAAAGGTGCATTTTTACCCAATTTAGTTATATAACCCCAAAAAATCTTGAAAACACATGTTGCAAAAGTCTTTACCTTCCTCAGCTGATGTATTGATTCATTGATTTAAGTTTACATCAACACCCTCCTAAAGTAAATACAAGTGGCTCTGTACAACTCTATCAGATACCAAAGTACATTATAGAGTCATGTGAAAAAATACTTTAGTTCATATAGAGCCATCAGTATTGATTTAATTAGAGTATTTGGTTTACTGTTACATATTGAGAATGATGAGAAAAGAACTCTCTACAGACCTAGGGAGAAGATTGTTCAGAAGCACAATTCTGAAGAAGGCTATAAATCAATTTCAAAGGTTCTCGGTTTGTCATTAAGTACTGTGAAATCGGTTTGAAGAAATGGCAAGTGTGTCACACTACCTCAACCTTGCCAAGATCAGGTCACCCTATGAAAGGGTGTGATCAAACAAGCAGAAAAACCATCAGAGAAGTGACTGTGGCACTGTAGGGCCTGCAGACTTCAATAGCAGCAACTGGAGTTACTGTACATACCTCGAAAATATCACATACATTACACAAAAAAGGCTTATATGGTAGGGTAGCAAGAATGAAACCACTACCGACGAAGATGCATCTTAGATAGCAAATGGACTGTGCCTGTAAACATTTCAATAACCCCACAACAATGTGGCAGAAAGCTCTATGGTGAGATGAAACCAAAACAGAACTTTTGGGGTTAAATAACAAATCGTGTGTAAGGCAGAAACCCAACATTGCTCATGACTCAGCAAATACGGTCCCAACTGTCAAGCATAGTGGTGGGTCTATAATACTGTAGGGATGTTTTTCTGCAGTTGGCACTGGAGAACTTGTATGCATTCAAGGGATCATGGACAGTGCAAAATATACAGATGTTGGAGGTAAACTTGAAAAAGTTAGCTGAAAAACTAAATCTTGGTTGAAGGTTTACATTTCAACAAGACAATGATCCCAAACACAGATCAAAGGCAACCCAAGAATGGTTTCAGAGAAACAAAATTAAAGTCCTTGACTGGCCAATCCAAAGTCCAGACCTAAATCCACTCGAAAATCTGTGGAGGGACATGAAAATTGTTGTGCATTGAATACATCCTTCCAACTTACAAGAACTGGAGCATATCTACAAGCAAGAGTGGGCAAAAATATCTCCAGCATACTGTGCAAAGCTTGTGGAGAGTTATCCAAATTGACTTTCAGCTGTCATTGGTGCCAAAAGAGCTTCAACCAAATATTAACTGCATAATCACGTTAGGGAATGAAGACTTTTGCAAAATGTGTAAGATTTTTTTTGTTTTATATAACTAAACATATTTTTTTTCTTTATAATCATTAGAAACTGGTCTGAGATTAGTATAATAAATATTTTTTTTTTGAGTTATGTCTTTTACAAGAAAATAATTAAAACTGATTACCAGCACAGAGAGGGGTGAATACTTTTGCAAGGCACTGTAACTCAGTGAAAATAAATTCACTCTGATCCTAGTAAAACAGACAGTACAAGGTTTACTATTTGACAAGAAATTGAAGAAACTTGTGAAGATAGTGATACTAGATGTCCTTTTTGTAGATATTAAAATGATTCATAAGGTGGAGATTAAAGTATAATAACAAACATTTTAAAAAACAATAATACCAAAGAAATCTTGAATTACTAATGTTTTGGGATATTTCCGATAGATACTCACTTCTTCTCACATGTAGCTTTTCCCAATTCAGTGCTTCCTTCTATATGCAAACGTTTTTGCTTGCCACTAACGTTGGAGCTCCCACCTAATCTCAGGTGTCTCCATGTGATATTGCTGCATTGTTACATGCAACAACCTTTCACCAACAAAAGTGCAAAACCACCTCCTATCACAGCTGGCTCCCTCTACACTGACTGTTCAATCATCACTAAGAAATTAAGCAATAAAGTAAGATGCACCAGAAGTGGGAAAGAAATGTGAGCAGATGTGAGTATCTATCAAAAATACATTTTCAGTGTTCGAAAATGTTAAATTGCAATATAATATGTAACCTCCACTCACATATAGCTAGAATCCCATGTTCCAGAGGTGGAGGAACTGGCACAAAATTTTACCTAGATGAGTCTCCTTCAAAAAGCACCCAAGGAGTGCAACACTTTATATCTTGGAGCAGTATAGGGGGCATAAACCTGAATATGATATACACAGACTGAAGATAAAGTCTAGATTCTGGGAGGATGGGAAGGTGGAGGTAAGCATCAGAGACATCAACCTTGGTCATCCAAAGTCCTGGAGAAAAAGACCACATGAAAGGTGAGAAAACTCATTATGGTAAACTGAGGAAAGATAAGAAACTGATGGAGATAGAAGAGAACAATGATGGTAAGCCAATCTCCTGGTGTATTGGGAAACAACAAACAGACAAAGAATAAAATCCCACAGAAGGGTGAGAAACCCTTTCATAGCATCCTTGGCCAAAATATCTGAAACCTCCTCAGAGAGATGCTAGTTGGAGAAAAGTCCCTTAGAGGAAATAAATAAATGGGAACAGGAGAAGAAAAATTAAAAATAAAGCCAACAGATAGGACCTGCAGCCACAAAATGAATCAATAGATCCACAAATTGAACCAAAGGCTACCCCACCCCTACTGTTCCTGAGCCCAAAAGATAGTCACTGATGAGTCTGTTGGCACTGAAACCTATGGATAGGAGAAGAGGTACAGGATGGAAGAACAGGGAGTGGAAAGGAGTTGGGAGATAGGAATTGGAAGAGAATGAGCTTGGGAAAAACAGGACATCAGGGTAGTTACAATAAAATGTTCGTATGCAGACTTAGCTTATGACTACAAAGAATGAGGTACCTCACCAAAACCCCAATGGTGGAAGAAAGGAATCAGTCAAATGTCCCCAAAGTAAAAGGAAAGTAAACATACTTCAGCATGAAGGGCATTCCTCTCCAACAAATCCCAGCAATAGAGTAACTAAGTGAGAAGGGAAAAGACCAAGGAAGAAGATTGCACCAATGTAGAAATAAGAATGAAACAAGGGTCTACCAAAAACAACTCAGGGAAATGGTTGATGGATAGGTAATGTAAAAGGGCTAGTGAGGGTACGGAAAAGTTGAGTAAACTGTGCTTGAGAAAAACTAACAGAGGACAACTGATCAGAGCTCCAATGCCTGAAGAAGATGCCAGAGTTTGGGAATCCAAGAAAAGGGCTTCAGCTTGATTGTAACCCAAGGCATATGTGCAACCAGTCAAGGAGGACAATGCATACCAGCACCAGAGAATTGAGACAAAACAATGTTTTCAGCATGGACTCAGATATCAGGGGAAGGAGGAAATATAATATTCTGAAGAAGGAACCAAATGAAAATGGGAAAGTAAAGAATAATAAGAAATAGGAAAGAAAGAAAAAGGTAACATACCTAAGAAGAAAAGTCATGGAAGGATGCAGAATGTCAAGGTAGATCTATGTATCTAGTGGAAGAATTATTTGCAAACTGAGGAAGTGGGAAAAAAAGCTGCCTAAAATGCACATCTTCATGAATTGGAATTATAGGAAGAGAGAAGTATGCGTCAAGGCTTAAATAATGCACAGGCCACATGCAAGACTTCACCACCCACTACACAATAGCCACCACGTTCCCTGACAGACAAAGATACTCAGTACCCTTGTGATAATCTGTTTAGAGAGAACGCAGTCCAGACGTTCAATACTAAACAGCGTGACAATGACCGTCTCTGAGTAATTCTGTTGTGGAAAATAAGAGCTACAAAGTCTGCAGAGGCAGAATTGTTTGAAAATAAAAACAAAAAAAATATTTCCACAACAGTTTGTTTTATAGATACTTGAACCAAACATGTAGAGAAATCTCACGCATGCGAAAAAAAATATGTCTTAACTCACGAGTGCCAAATTGAGAAGTGATGATTGAGCAATCAGTCTAGAGGGAACCAGCTGTTCTAGGCGGCGGTGTCACAGTCCTATTTATGGAGGGTTGTCACATGCAATTATGTAGCAACATCACGTGGAAACACGTAAGATCAGGTGAAAGCCCCAAGGATGGTGGCGAACGAAAAGCTCGCATACAGAGGGCAGCACTGAATCAGGAAAAGCTAGATGCGTAAGCATAGGTTGTGTATCTAGTCGGAATCTGTTTCTTAACTCAATCATGAATAGCATGAAAAACTTCGAAATAATTAACAACGAATATAAACATAAAAACGCCATAAGCTTTTATGCGGGAAGTTAATTATACAGACGGAAACTTAGAAAAACATAATAAAATAATTAATTCAATGATCACGCTAGCCTTTTAAAATTTGCCGTTTTTTTAAACACATGCTTTTCCAAAATCTGCATTTTCAACCATAACAACTACTTTTGTTTTTAGATATTGTATAAATTACAATTAACATTATTCAGTATTAAGTTAACATGCAAACAGTAATGGGTTACCTGCAGTGCTTAATGCCGAATGTACTCATATGCTCAGTAGTATATGTGAAACGTCTAGTCTAAAGCTCGTGCAGTTTATAAACGATTAAATATTTATTTGCTATCAATTACCTATAGCAACAATACTGTGTGAAGTGTGCACTATTATGGACAATTTAGTGTTATTTGACATGTTCGTTTGTCTGTTTATGATAATTTTGGAGCTTAAATGTTTTACCTACGAATATGTAGTTGCTCAAACCAAGGAAAACGATTAATCCTAAATAACTTTTTTTAGGCAAATACGTACTTGATCAAAGTAAAAACATAGTATTTTGGATATTCATTAAGTAGCTTAAATATAAAGCAAAACAACATAAAAGTTACAATAACATCAAATTATCTTGTAAAATAATAATTGATTGTGATAACTATCTTACAAAGTTTGAAAATCATTAAGGAACGAATAAAGATGTTTGGAACATTTTTCGCGTTGTGTTACAATTTCACATGTAAAAACAACAACAAAAACTTTGTAATTTAAACCAGTAAGTATTTTTGTTGCGTCTACCGCTTTACTTTAGGAACACAGTGCTTTTATTTTTTCGTGTTGTAATAAAATTTTCTGTATATATAACATTAACATTGAATTCTGTAAAAACGCGACAATGGCTGGAATAAACTGTCAAGCGCGCGTGCCGAAAATTCAATAAGATAAACAACTTGTATATATTAGAATTACTACTTACTAGAACTTGTCTAAGCTGCACGTAACTTTACTCAGAGTTTTGTTTTCACTTTTCAATTCTTCTTACAATGTACATGTAGTAGAGCTAGTCATAATTAAACTGGAGTTATGTTCGTATAAACAGGCTAACGATTTAACGCAAGTTAATGGTATTACATACTTTTGATTTGTTAGACTTATAAAATATAAATTAGACAATCTCTAGTAATGAAAATCGATAAGTGACTTTACATTTTTATTCCATCGCATCGTTAAAACTGGATAAAGAATACTGTTTCCAAGTTTCAAATCGGCGAAGGGATTGTAGAATTGGTAGTATTTGCTCCGCAATCAGTAAATTCAGTATTCCAGATGTGCTAGTGACTATCACAACATCCACCAAATTCAGGAAGTAATAATTATAGTGTTACGGACGCAACACATAGACAGTGTAAAAAGGAAGAAGAAACTTTATAATTTATTGGAGACCAATGAGTAAAGTTACGCAAATCATAAATTATACTACAATGTAAACAAAACAGATTTTACAATTTACACTTTGTTAGCGATGGATCCAGGGTTCGTCGTGGGGTGGGCGTCCAACTGAAGTTTTACTAGCAATACTGATAAAAACTTATATTAATGTTACTGTAGTATTGCTAAATATGAAATACGGTCCAGATCGCCTGGACCCCCCCCCCCCCCTAGATCCATGCCTACTTGTACAACACTAAATAAAGAAGGAAACATAATACAATGTAAAAAACAATAAACTTGCACTATATTTAACTATAGTAGTTAGAAAGCTAGCAGTGGATGCTGCCAGCCATTTTCCTGTCCTTTGATTAGTTGTAGTTTTTTTTTTTTACATTCGTCAGTTAATTGGTTATTGCAATTGATAGAAAACAGTACTTGTCAGAAACACTAGCTTCGAGTAAATTATCGATTACTTTGCCCAGCTCTTGATCTATCTATACTAGATGGTACTAGACTCTGGTTTTAATATAAAACAAAATAATTTTTTAATTCTGTTATACAAATCCTTCTTTACTACATGAATCATTACCCCATCACTGTATTGTTATCTACCCAGAATAACAAACTTATTCCTTATACAAAGCTTTGTTTATAACTAAATCTTTACTAGTCTTTAAATTATGAAATTCAGACTTTTAAAATTAAAACCATAAACTTCAAAACTCTAAAAAATGTCAACTGTTTTACCTCTAACAGTCTCCTGTTCTATGAGGTACATGTAAATTAAATATAACCAGGTCTATTTTACCTCTAACAATCTCCTGTTCTATGAGGTACATGTAAATTATATATAATCAGGACTATTTTACCTCTGACAATCTCCTGTTCTATGAGGTACATGTAAATTATATATAATCAGGTCTATTTTACCTCTAACAATCTCCTGTTCTATGAGGTACATGTAAATTATATATAATCAGGTCTATTTTACCTCTAACAATCTCCTGTTCTATGAGGTACATGTAAATGAAATATAATCAGGACTATTTTACCTCTAACAATCTCCTGTTCTATGAGGTACATGTAAATTATATATAATCAGGACTATTTTACCTCTAACAATCTCCTGCTCTATTAAAGATACATGCAAGCTATAATCAGTTTGATCTCAGGCACAAGGCGGAGTGTCTTTCAACAAGATTTAATGGAAAACATTTTATTACCTGATAAAGTCTACTTATAATGGCTGGAGTCTACTTAGTTTTAATATCTGCAAGTAAGCTGAAACTCTTTAACTATTAACTCTATTGATGGCCAAATATCTAATTTTATTCTAGATTTTTACCAAGTTTTACATTTTTTTAGCTAAAATAATCCTTTTCATTTTGATTATCCTTTGGACAATTTATCAAGTAATAAGAAAAGGCCAGAGATACATCAGATATTACATAATATTTTTTAATGCCCATAAACAAAATGACATGTCCCTGATCAGTGATGATGTAGGTTGCACAATCTAATGAATATGATAATTTGAATTGAAGAAAAAAACAAAAACAATTGTACATTTCACAAAAACTTCATTTATTCACAACAATGGTTTCTCCAGTAAAGACACTGTCAGTGTGATGACACCTATATTTGTGAAACCATAGTCCTTAAAAAAATCTAGTTTTTGTGAAATGTACAATTGTCTTTGTTTTTTTTACTTCACTTCTGTAATTATGAAGTTTCCTCAAGTACTGATGGTTTCAAGTCTATTATATGATGATTTGACTTCAGACAAATGTCTGGATAGTGACTAATTGGATCAGTCAAAATGTGTCAACTATTATTAGTTTTCTTTATATGACTTTCATTTGAATTTAAAACATTTTTTCCCCAGGAGTTTATTAATTTTTTTTATTTGCAGTTTTTTCCATTACATAAAAAGAAACAGTCCCTTATTTTTTACTGTAAAATTGACCAACAATTATTGATAACAAGCACTTGTACGACTTACAGCTAGCCCTGTGGTCAGTTATAATACCATATATACGATGGGAAAAGTTAGATTACATTTAAAGTAAGTCATATTGAGTTTGCTTAAAGCATAATGCCAAGCCATTGAAATGATCAAAAGAATACCATAAAGTATTTTGTTTTGTTTTTGAATTTCGCGCAAAGCTACACGAGGGCTATCTACGATAGCCGTCCCTTATTTAGCAGTGTAAGACCAGAGGGAAGGCAGCTAGTC